CCATAAATATGCACCATTTAAAATAAAAACAAATTGCACATGAGAATTTTGACAAATTGAGGACATCCAAATATATAGAATTGTTATTATCGAACTGGACATATTTAGATTAAAAAATGAGCTGAAACTTCTGAGAAGAGACCGGCACAAATTGCTTGTTAGCTCCTTTTTGCTTACACTGCCCTGAAGCTTCATGTTTCTGTCTTTCTAAACTTCAGATTGGCCTCATGAGAAACATGGACTGCACTTTATCAGTTAGTTTCCAATGCATCACAGGATCAGCACTGGACCCCAAACCACACATCCTTTTACTGCAATAATTGCCATTGTCCAGTGTTTATGGTTTGAAAGTTAAGCGGGTAAGGGGATAGGGAAGCAGGTAAGTTGGTGGGGGTGCAGCTGGGTCAAGTATCTGTGATGGACAGTCTGTTCCAGGATAGAGTATGAGAGGTGGTGGTCGGAGCTGGGTGATTGGGGTGTTTGGTGAGAGAGTTCATGATTGAGGGAGTTAGCCAGGATTACGAGCAAGTTTAATTCCTTCTAACCTTTCCTGTGTAAATATAAAGCAAAGTAAATTTGAGCCTTCAGTAGTTGGAGACTTTTTCAAAAGGTTCCAGACGCTGGTTAATTGCCAATTGAAAATTGTGCAGTCAATGCATTGAGACTTCTAAGGGGTTTCGTAGCACGTCTGTCGGACATGGCTAGTCTCCAATCATCTGGAGCCAACAAAATCTGTCCTCATCTGTTTTACATAAAAGCCTGTGCAACTAACTTCCTTATCAATTGTTATGTCAACAACTCCCAATTCTGCTGCAACATCTGCAATGTAACACAGGCTATGGCCACAATGTGGCCTTGTGAAGCAAGTTCCTGTAATCTCTCTGCTCACAGCCACCATATTGCATCTTTAAAAAAGAAACATATATTAATCCAACTATCATAGTCAATGCCAGGGACAGTTAGAAATGATTTTTTTGTAAGGGAATTTAACAGTCCAATGTGTATTCCAAATCCATTTCCTTACCAGAATTAAATGTAGATGCTCAAGTGTCTTTCACATTAATGCAAAGACAAGGCTGCAGCATTTGCAACCATCTTCAGCCAGAAGTGATGTATCTCTACCTCCTCCTTAGGTCTCAACAACACAGATGCTAGTCTTTAGCCAATTCAGTTCACTCTGTGATATCAAGAAATGGGCTGTAGACTCTCCAAAGCCATCCACCACCTTCAATATTCACTCCTTCCACAACTGCACATAATGGCAGCAGTGTGTTTTGTCAATGAGATGCAATGCAGGAACTTAGCAAGGCTCTTTCAAAAGCTGCCTTCATGAACTACAGCAATCTCTGGGGTGTTGGGACACCCAAAGTGAAGGAAGTTCCACAATTTTGACCCAATTGTGGTGAAAGGATGGTCATGTAGTTTCAAGTCAGAATCATGTTTGGCTTAGAGGGAACCTGCAGTTGGAGCTGTTCCTATGGATCTGATACTTTTGTCTGTCTGGGTGGAAGAGGTCAAGGATTTTGGAAGGTGCATTTGTGTTTTAAATCTGCTACCCCTTATCCTAAAAATATGACATTTCATTCCAAGTTACTCCAATGAGGAAACATCCTACATCTATTTTGTCCCCTCCTTTAGCATCACGTATATCTCAATTAGATTTCCTCTCTTTCTTCTAAACTCCAGAGAGTATGGGCCTAAACTGCTCAATCTATTTTCACAAGACAAACCCCTTGTCTCTGCAATCAATCTAGTGTACCTTCTCTGAACTGTGCCCGCAACAACTGCCAAAATGTAAGCAACAATAAATGCCAATATTCCATTTGCCTTCCTTATTATCTGCTGTATCTGTATCTTCTGACTTATGTACAAGGACTCCCAGATCCCTCTGTGCAGAAGCACTCTGAAGTTTCTCTCCATTTAGAATATAAATTGCCTTCTTTTCCTCTGACCAAAATAGATAACCTCACACTTATCCACATTTAACTTCATCTGTCAAAATTCAGCCCATTCACCCACCCCATCCATATCCATTTGTAAGTTTCTCATTTCTTCATTGCAACTTACTTCCCACCTATCTTAGTGTCATCTGCAAATTTGGCTTTAGACACCTTCTATCCCCATATTCAAGTCTTTGATATAGATTGTAAACAGTTGGGTTCAAGGACCGAATTCTGTGGCACCCACAATTACATCTAGCCAACGAGAAAAAGACATATTTCTCCCACCTCTCTGCTTCCTGTTGCTTAGTCAATCCTCTATCGAAACTAATAAATTATTCTCCAGTCATCAACTTGTTAAGTTTTGAGAAAAGAATTCCAATTGTAAGAAAATATTAAACGTCCCCAGAGGTCTGCAAAAACTGTTTGCATTGACTAGTGATTTCAGCACTTGAGCAAGTCATACGAACCTATGTACCTACGGGTGTTGCAAATCCAGTGACAGTGAGGCTGATTTGGTTTGTCTTGCTATCCCTGTTCTGCAATAATATGGCCAAAGTATATGCAGATTTCTCAAGGTGGAATTTCAGGTGGAAAAATCCGTTAAATATAGAAAGGGAGTTCTTTTAATAAAGGCAAAAGCAATCTGCATGTTTTGCAAATAAATATGACTGAGTCTGCTCATTGTTTTTTTATTTTGCTCACGGGACGCTCATGTCACTGACTGGGCTGACATTTTATTGCCCGCCCCTATTTATTGTTGAGAAGTAGGTGTGAGCTGCCTTCTTGGACCACTCCAGTCCATGTGCTATAAATAGATCCACACTGCCAGTAGGAAGGGAATTGTAGCATTTTGACCCGATGACAGTGAAGGAACGGTGATATATTTCCAAGTCGGGATGGTGAGTGTCTTGGAGGGGAACTTGCAGGTGGTAGTGTTCCCATGTATTTGCTGCCTTTGTCCTTCTAGATAGTGGTGGCCCCAGGTTTGGAAGGTGCTGTCTCAGGACCATTGGCAAATTTTTGGCAGTGAGTCTTGTAGGTAGTAGACACTGCTGCTATGGAGTGTTGGTGTGATCGCACACAAACGATGCCGATTTATCTAGAATTCTCCCTCACTGCTTGAATAAAACAACATTGTATGTATGAAAT